TGTATCTTGCTCTTAGGAAAGCGGGCACGGGATGACAGCTTCCTTGACACCATCATGGCGATGGAGGACCACCGTGCCATGGTCAGCAAGGAGAATGAGGACCTGCGTGCCAAGGAGATGCACGACGAACGGCTGCTGCATTCACACAAGGCCCAGGAATCGGACGACCAGCTGCTCATGGTGATGCCGCGCCATGCTGACTCGGCGGCGCGCCAGGTGGAGCAACAAAATACCTTTCAGGCTGGGCTTCTGGCAGTGCTAAGCGAGCTGATTAAATCCAACAGGCCTTCAATAAAAAAATTATGTAATATAATTGTAATATGTGGCTTTAAAAAAGATAATTTCATTGTATTTCAAAATGGCGTCCATCAACACAAGCACTATTTATAGAAAGATAAATGGTTAAGTTTGTAATTACCAGTGTTGTCAGTTCAATATTTTAATTCATTATAGTAAGAGAACATCTTAGGAGTTAGTGTAGTGAGTTTCAGAGCAGTGTAATAATTCTTTGACCTAAAACTAAATGTTTTTATGAATGTCCTCTAAGGAGGACATGGGGATTTGCTAACTTTTTATTTCCCCCATTTTACACGACACAAATGGAGGCCACTATGGGCCAAAACTAACACGTAGGTTTCTGTAGGGTTCATGGCAGACGGATGCAGTTGCTCTCAGGAGGATATATAATAAAGGTGTGTTAACTGCTGAGCCTATTTACTGTGCATACGACACACCTGGCACAGTTTATTCATTTCACACAGGTTACGCAATCCATAGCGCGTGCATGTCGTCGTCCAACTCCTTTGTCAATCCTTCTTAACCGCCTTCGCTTCCGAATCAGCATTGCTATTGCATTTGACTGGTCGACGATCTGTATTTGTGTTTGCTTAAATAACTCAGACGAAGCTCATGTCTGAGGTCGGAAGGTAAACAGACGCCTCATATACAGCAGGTGGGCGTGGCAGTATACGTGGGAGGTTTTTCTTCTTCTTCTTCTCTCGGTTTTTTGGCGGATTGCAACTTTAAGGTGCATACCGCCACCTACTGTACTCGCCGTGAAGTTGTTTGCGGCCTGCCAGTAAACCCAAAGCAGAAGAAGAAGAAGTGACGTCAGCGGCTTCATTTTCCTAATCCACCCCCAGGAACTCATTTCGGTGTGAACGTGATCTGCTTTAGTTCATCAGAACTAAAAGAGTTCTCATGAACTGAGTTCTCATGAACTATTGTGGGAAAAGTACTTGGTGTGAACGCGCCTATTAAAAAATGCTGAATACTAAAAAACCTCAGAAAGCCGTAGTTAATGCAACTCAACAACACCTGGTTCTCAAGGCTAATGCTAGCTCGAAGCCTGCGAATGTCTCACACGGTGTTGGACCCAGCTGCTACTGAGCCTACCAACACCGCGATTCTCGAGCTTCTTCAAAAGCTATCTGAGGACCAAACAAAGTACTTTACTGACCTTCGGAAAGAACTATCGGAAACGCGGAGAGCCGTTGTTGCTGTTGAGGAGAAGCTAGCCCTGGCTTCGGAGGTAGAAATGCTGAATGCTAAACTGGTGGAATACGAGGATAGGGATAGGTGGGTGAATCTACGCATCTAGGGAGGCGTGTGGCGCAGTGGATAGAGCCTTGGTGTTGGGATCAGGGGGTCACAGGTTCAAACCCCACTGCAGTCAGCATGTCGTTGTGTCCCTGGGCAAGACACTTCACCCCAAATTGCTCCTGTGATGCCCACAGTATTGAGTATGTAAGTCGCTTTGGATAAAAGCATCTAACAAGTAACATGTAATCTATGGATTCCCGGAGCATTCTGAGGAGAAAGATGCTTTATCCTTCCTGAAGACAACACTACCGGACATCCTTCAGACGGATTTTCCTGGGGGCCTGGATTTGGAGCGTGCTCACAGCCCCAATCAAGCCCGGGGCTCCACCGAGACCTTTCGTGGTGCGTTTCCTGAGATTCCAGCAAAAGGAGCACATGAGAAACGTCGCGAGGGAAATCGGAGATGTCAGGTGGAAGACCCATAAAATAAGCTTCTACCAGGATTTCTCAAAGGCAACGCAAGATCGGCGACGCTCCTTTTTGGAATGTAAACGGCTACTTCACTCGGCTAAGATCCCGTTTGGCATCGGATACCCGGCTGTGCAGGCTCGAAAATGACATTCCCAGAACAAATGACCATATCTTCACTTCTAAAAGGGGTAAATTAATAATCTTTTTTCTCAAAGCAAGGTTACATCTGTGAGTTGGATGTAGAAGTGTCAGAATCAATATAGGTGTTTTCATTTTAAAGTAAATTCAGATTGAACATAGTAAAACCATTTAAATTATAGTGTCCGTCCAAAAAAAAAGATTACTTATAGTGAAAACCACTCTTGAATGATGGGATAGTAGACTAAAAGCTTTAGAAATCCAAACTATAACATATAATAAGTACCCTGTGTCAAGATTGATGCAAAACAAGTGAAATCTGACCTTTTTAGAGAGATTTAGAAAAAAAAACCCACTTCTGGGGTCATTTGGGTGCATTTTCCATATCTCTGGCCCCCCTCGTTCGATTTTGATGATTGACATCTCTTTTTAACCGTTAGAGCCAATAGAATCGAGGGCAAGTTCCTACAATCCATCTAAACATTACCCATTGGTGAATGATTGCTGCGCAGCCAGAATGCCCCTGAACCGGAAGCTGCGATACACTCTGGTGGCTACCATTAGCAGCTAATTTAAAATCTCCGATTTTTACATAAAAATTGAATTATGGATTATCAATAATTTTTTCAAAGTGACAGACACGTTGGATTAACCTATGGATTAACCTTCAGCAGCGTTTTTATCCCATTGAACACGACTTTTTATCAGAATAACAGCTAAGGTGAGACGATCTCCCGTGTTTGCTCCGTAATGCTACGTGCTATGTCTGTGTTTCCTTCCCTTGTCGCGGGTTCTGATCGCTCAGTGATGATACTAATACCTATATAATCTGTGGAATCTCAGCTTTAATCGGATATCTTGTTTGTGCAGTTACGATAAGTAATAAGGGTATTTTTACCTTGAGTTCTGTGCTAAGTGTGTTAGCATTTCTTCGCTCAGGGGTCATATAGACGCTTCTTATGAGACTTGTGTTTTGTTTTGGTAAAAGTGGTTCATACTGTCAGTTAACTGAGTTTCTTCCCGTTAATCTGGTATGACACATTCATTTTTTTTTTAAATATTAAGAAGCCCTGAGATCTTTTCACATCTTTTGAATGTGTTCTGATGACTCACTACGCTGATGCATTGCTCAGCAGTTCGTTAGATCGTTGTCTAGCAATTAACAGATATCACCTGTTCTAATGGCTGGTGATGGTGCTGCCGCTCTTGGGCAGTTAGCCTGTTAAGCCCTGAGCCTGTTTTTCAGGTCTCAGGCTCGAAAATGACATTCCCAGAACAAATGACCATATCTTCCCTTCTAAAAGGGTTAAATTAATAATCTTTTTTCTCAAAGTAATGATAAACCTGTGAGTTGGATGTAGAAAAGTCAGAACAATATAGATGTTTTTTATTTTAAAGAAAATTCAGATTTTACATAGTAAAAAACTGTAAATTATAGTGTCCGTCCAAAGATATTTTTTTACTTATAGTGAAAACTACCCTTGGATGATGGTAAGGTAGACTAAAAGCTTTAGGAATCCAAAGTACAACATATAATAAGTACCCTGTATCAAGATTGATGCAAAACAAGTGACATTTGACCTTTTTAGAGAGGTTTAGCCAAAAACACTCCACCTCTGAGGTGATTTGGGTGGAAATGTTTTTTTTCCATATCTCTGGCCCCCCTTTGTCAATTTTGATGGTTGACACCTCTTTCTGACCGTTAGAGCCAATAGAATCGAAGGGAGAGTCCCCCACACACACTCATTGTAAAACAAAAAGGTGGGGGCTTTGCGCATGTAATTTTGCATTAGAGTGAAACTATCTCTCGCTCTGACATCTAGAAACGGAAAAGCAGTCTCAATGCTTATGGATTATCAGAAATCATTTCAAAGGGACACAGACACATTGGATTAACCTATGGATTAACTTCAGCAGCGTTTTTATCGTTTTAATACCATTGAAGACCACTTTGAAGAGACTACAGAGCCAAGGTAAGCTTGTTAGCATTTTTAGCTACCTAGCGCCAAATGTTTTGATGTCTGTTTTTGTTTATAACGTCGCGATTTCATATAATCCAATGATAATGAGGGTACCCTTCGATTCTGTGTCACCTCACGATGTGAAACGATGTCATGGATGTGGAGAAAAGATAAATAATAAGGTTTTGTGAGTGATTTTCGGTGCAGTAATCTGTTAGCATCTTTCGCTCGTTGCTAATTCAGAGGCTCAGTGTTAGCATTGTGGGTTTTCTCTTGAAAAAAAAAAAAAAATGATCAGTTAGATGAGTTTCTTCCCGTTACATGGATATAAAACATTCATAGTTTATTAAATGAACATGCCCTCAGACACTGTTTCCTGCAAGATGTTGCGGCAGTGCCCCGGTACCGGGGTTTCTCAGGCTTAACAGGTTAAAGTTCCCAGATTTTAGTTGTTTGTCCAGTTAGGGACTTATCAGGAATGTCGAGGAGTGGTGTATCTCCTCACTCTTCTTGGGTTGTTTTTGAGTTTGTTTATGTTTTATTTCTTTTATTTTTTTGGGAAGGTTTCTTTCTTTAGATTTGTTTTGTGCTGTTTTGTACTGTATTGCATTTGATGTTATTGATTGTACCATTTGTTTAATACATTTAAAAAAATTGCAGAAAGTGTTGCAGAAGCCGACAGAGCTATATTCTTGTGGGAAGCCAGCCTCAATGGCCAGGTGTCACTTAGTCGGAATTTAATTCTTGTTTTCTATTCATTCACAGTCTCTGAAAGTCCTAATTAGCATTTCAAAAATAGTGTGATAGAGTACAGAACCAAATCAGTAAGAACTTTATACTCTACAGTACATGCAACAAAATCAACAAATACAATCACTTTCTACTTACATTTATGATGACGGCCACATTTGCTACCCCTCTCAGTAAGTTGTACCATATACCTGTAGAAAGAATAATATGTATTAACAGCTAGATTGTACAGATATACAGACTATATTATAGTTATAGTATAGATATTCTACAGTGCATGGAAATGTTTCCTTGCAGTTTGTTGGTTGTATCGAATATATGAACAGCAACACTTCACCTAGATCTTACCTTTACTATTGAATACTTTCATGCATTGTAAGCCTTTTCATAAGAGCTACAGTATGATGAAAATAACCCACCAATATCTTTGGCTCTTGCTGCCACCGGTCTTCGCAACTCAGTCACAAATTTCTTGGCATCGAGTCGTATTTCAATGATGTTGTTGAGCAGAGCAAAAAGCGGCGCCAGGGGGAAGGACGCCACAAACAATGTGACAAAACCAAACTGGATGACTGGACAGAGAAGAAAAAATAAAAAGATGGAGATTAATTATAAGGTGAGAGTTTATATGAATAATTGATTTGGATTTAGTTTGGTGATGAAATTAAATTTACATTGGAGGCATCATTTCCCTATGTAAATGGTCTTTGTTTTGGGGAGCACTTTGTAAAGTCGTTTTTTCTGTTGGTGATAGTCCATCGAGTGGTGCAGGAACGAGACCTAGGACCTGGAAATGACTTAGTATTTAAGCAATCCCTGTTCCAAATTCTTTGTACATGTTTTTGGTTAGATGCCTGATAAACGGTCCGTCGTAAACACAAGCAGAGGACATTTTCGCATTTTCTTCTACGACATAAATTAATTTCCCTTCTCCTTAAAGGCCCTGACACACCAGGCCGTATTCGGCCGTCTTGCGTTGTCTGGCGACAACGCGTTCCTTGTCTGGCGACAACGCGTTCCTTGTCGCCCAAAGTCAATTTGGTGTGTCCCGAACCCTCGGCCGTGACACGCCTTATTTGGCCTTTCACGGTCGACACATGGCCGATTCAACATGTTGAATCGGCCAAAATACGGCCACAAGCTATCGGGCCAAGAAACCACTCTGATCAGCTGTTCAGCTAGCAAATGAGAAGCGAAACGGAAGTGAGGGACGTAAACAAACGATTTAAAAAGGCACAGGACAGCAGCTAAACCCCAGCAGGTGATACTTAAAGATATCAAACATAGCCCTTAAATGTCCTCTCTTACCTCCCACACATAGCAGGGACATCTCTGATATCGGCGGGAGCGTCCCCGGCTGTCCTCTGCTGAGAGCTCCGTGATTTGTTTGGTCAAGTCCGGTTTTTCATCTCATCGTAAATTTATTTCATCAGATGCAGGTCTATTAACTGTGATTTTATAGTATGTCTGCACTTTATGTGCTCATTTCATCATTCATGTATTTTTATATTCTAAAACATGTTTTCGATGGACGAGAGTGAAAATGGAACGCACACGCTATTTGTTTGTTTATATCAGTCTGTTCTTCTTCTCTGTCTTCCGGTTGTTGCCTATTTTGAATTTCCAGTGCGACACATGGCCAAGACGCAGGAGAACTCGTCGATGGAACTGTCGGTGTCGGTGAGTTCTCTGGTGACTGCCTGGTGTGTCAGGGCCTTAACACTAGAACTGCCAACGGGTCAATTTTACCCGCAGCTGTTTTTTGATTGTATGTAACTTTTTGTTCAATAAAATATTAAAGTCTCCCAGTCCGTGACTTTTCCTGAAAGTGTGTTATGTAGCACCCTCTGTTGTTAAAAATTGTCAATATGAAGTCAGATTTGAAAAATGCCAAAACGATTGCCATTTTATACCTATAATCCGCCAGCGGGTATATTTACCTCAGAGAGAGA